TTTATATTTTCATAAAGAAAATTTTCATGAATTTGAAATTTCTGTCTTAATGTTCTCTATTTAATGCCTTCCTTGAATGTGGAGGAATAAAGTGTTTTCTTTAAAATTCATGCTGGGCTATGCAATTCACAGAAGATTCAACTAAGGAAGGCTGTCCAGCTGTGGCAATCTCCTATTGATTGCTACTTTGTGCTGGGCAGGACATCTAGATGGCCACACCACTGTTTTTTACCTACCCCAGCACCTCAACAAAATTTTGACCAAATATATGAAAAGAATATTAACAGAAAGTTGATAGTTTAAAGAGCTTTGACTAGACATAGAGCCAGAAAGAGGATTTGGAGTTGTAAAATACATATTCAAGTCTTACCTCATCACAAGTTATATGATTCCAACCTTTACCTCATCGAGGTTGTTTCTCATTTGAACAAAAGGGTCAGTGCCTGACCTATGGATTTTATAGAAAATATAACAGTAGTATATATGAATATCCTTTGTAATTACTAAAAAAGTGCAGACTGTGTGTACATGTAGGAAATATATCTGAAATTTAAAAATGTGAAATTGGTCACGCCCATCACTGCCAGTAGAACAATTTTATCAGTTAACGCACTGCTTCCTTTTCAGTTCTCACTTTATTCCTGAAGATTTCTGAGACCCTTTCACACATGTGTTGACTGCCTTAAACAATCAGGCCTTTTTAATTTTTATGATTAAGTTATTTTTACTGGTTTAGCACTTTTTCTTCAAAAGCATCTATTGTGGGAGGGTCCATCCTTGGACCCTCGTACTCACCCCAGTTTTCATCTAGACAATCCAATCTGATTCAAGAGACTCAAATTATCATTCCTTCATAGCCAACTTCCAAACCTGTTTTGTCCCAGGCTCCATTATAAGTTCCAGGCCCATGCTTTCAATCATGGACCAAATACTTCCATCTCGATGCTATTCATTCTGGATAAGGTGAAACATGTTATCCTTCTTCTAATCCCAGACCTCCTCCCACCCTTGGTTGCCATCTCAGTAGCTGGCTAAGCAAAACTTGGAGTCGTCAATAATTCCTCCATTCCATTGAACCCACTTCTGAAATTTCTAATTTATCTGTCCTCAGATCCATTTGAATTTCTACAGCCTCCTCTGAAACTGTTAATTAAAAAAAAAAAATATCCTAACTAAGCTAGGTGTGGTGGCACACACCTTTAATCCCAGCACTCAGAAGGCAGAGGCAGGGGTATCTCTGTGAGTTTGAGGCCAACCTGGTTTACAAAGTGAGTTCCAGGACAGCCAGAGAAACCCTGGCTTGGAAAACAAACAAACAAAATATCCTCACCGTTTCTACTTTCTATTCAATCTCTCTTCTTTGGTCAGTCACACTCTGAGTCCATCTCATTAAACAGGATGCTGTGGCGTGAGGGAATCCTCTATTTTGATGCCTACTTGTGGCCAAAAAAGTAAACTGCAAATTTTCTTCATGACATGAGATCCTTACTACTCTATTTCTATGCTATTCGTCTAGTACCCTGCTTACACTGTTCGGGCAAGTTATACACTTTCAGTTTCATTTCCTGGTTCCTGTTTTCTCTCTCCTCTATGACTTTACTTTGTGGAAAATCTGTGCATGGGGCTAGAGATCTGACTAGGTAGATAGAGTGCTTGCTGCTCTTGCAGATGGCTGGAGCTTGGTTCTCAGCACCCACATTGGGTGGCTCACAGCTACCCTGTAACTCTGTAACTCCAGCTCCAGGGGATCTGATGCCTTCTTCTGTCCTCTGCAGGCACAGCATGGATTTGTGCATACAGACACAATGCGATATATACATACATATATTTAAAACCCCCTTTTAAAAATCTGTACATGTTTTGGGCCCATACAAGCTGTCATTTTCTCTGTAATATCTCCCTCCTCTTGACCTCTGTGTAAAACTAACCCTTCCACCACTTCAGTACTCATCTGTTTATAAAATTATATTTTCGTTGTAGAAACAGTTTATTTCAAAAAGAAATTTTAAAACATGGAGGAAATATTCAGCAAGGATGCTCAAACATCAGAAGAGAACCAATTAGAATTTCTGGGAGTGAAAGAAGCAGTCAAGTCAAAATCACATCAGAAAGCATCGCTAACAGACAGGAGCAATTAGGAAAATGAATTTCAGGGGGGAAGACTAAGCTGAGACAATACTTCATTCAGACACATATAATGATTAAAACAAACAACCAATGATCCCCAAAAATCTGGGGCACATTCAAAAGACAGAAATCTAAGAACCAATGAAGTAGAAGGAGCTGAGATAAAGTCAAAAGTCAGAGATAATTTATTCAATTAACTCATAGAAGAAATTTCTCTAAACTTAGAGAAAGAAATTAACATCTAAACACAAAAGGCCTTTAGAAACCCAGATAGATTTAACCAGAGAAATTCTCCACAACATACCATAGCCACAATGTCACAACCACAAAGCAAAGACTAAAAGATGAGAGAGAAATTCCAGCTCATATACAAAGGGAGAAGCATCATAATAACATCATATCATGTATAAGAAACATGAAGCCAGGAATGTATGGAATTATATATTTCAAGCTCTGGAAGCAAATGATTGTCAACAAAATTTTAAACTGATGGAAAATTAAGGCAATTAGTAACAACCAAGCAGTATCACAGAAAAATCTTAAATGAGTACTATATATGTAAGAAAAACAAAGTATCATCTATAGAACACAGAACACAGAAAAGAATATATTCCATGAGTGATCAAAAAGAGTTGGGAAGGAAGTAATCAGGTACAACACAACAAACCAGAAACCCCTTATACTAACGAGAGGGAAGACCAGAAATACTATTAATCTAACCAACCAGAAAATCAACTAACAAAATCATAGGAAATAATCTTAAGTGCAAATGATCTCAATTAAACAATAAAAAAAACCCACAGAATAACTGATGGAATTAATAAAGCAAAGTACATCCATTGTCTCTAAGAAACACACTTAGCCAGCAAAGACAAAAACAAACACAAAACCCACAAAACAAAAACAAATAGAGTCAAAAAGTGAAAATCAATGTACCAAGCAAATGGAAACTGTGCACATGCTATGTAGCAATTTTTGTACACGATGAGGTAGATTTCAAACCAAAACTATCTAGAAGAGATAAAGAGGGTCCCTACCTATTAACAAAGCAACAGTTCCTCAGGGAGATATAACAGCTGGAAATATTATTCATTGAATATTAGAACTACACATTTGATAAGACAAACACTGAAAGACATAGAATGCCACACAGATTCTGACACAATAATGATGACAGATGTTGAAATGGCACTCTCTGATTTAGGTGGGGGTCTTCCAATCTAAAACCAGCAAAGAAACTTCAAAACTAAATTATACCACAGATCAACTGGAATTAAGTGGTGTCCATCCAACAGATAGTGAACACACTTAGCAGAACAAGAACTGAACACTCTCTAAAACTTACCATAAAAAGAAAGAAAGAAGTAAGACATCCCTTCCTTGTATCTTATAAGACCACAGCATAAAAAAATTAAAAATCATCAAGAGAAATTCAGAAACTACGCAAATGCTTGGAGACTGAATAGTGAATCATGGGGAGAAAATTCATAGGGGAATTTTAAAATATTCCTAGGATCAAACGTAAGATGATAGCACAATCTATCAGACCCTCTAGGGTATGGCCAAGGACTTCCTAAGAAAAGTTTATAATAATGTATCAAAAATAAATCCAGCAGATATGAACCATTTAAACAGACATACAATAAGCAAGAGACCCAAGTGCTAATTAAATTTCCCCCAAAGGAAAGCCCAGGACCATGTGGATTCACTGCTAAATTCTACCAGTCTCTTCAGGAAGATGTAGCAGCAACATTGCAAAGCTTCCCACAAGACAGAAAGAGCAGGATTATTACCAAACTCTTCCTGTGGACCAAAGGCCCTAATTGGAAATTCTGATACTGCTGTAGGAAAATATTCTGAGAAATCAGCATATAGAAGAAGTTTTAAAATAGAACTCTAACAGCACAAAAATTTGCAAATGGATTACATAAAGTAAAAAAGATTTTGCACAGCAAAGGGAACTATCAGTAGTGCGGAATCTTTGCTAGCTATACTTCAAACAGGGGCTTAGTACCCAGAACATATAAAAACCTTCAAAACTAAACAATAAAACTGCCTGTTGATAAACGAGCATGTGAAATGAACAGATGGTTCTCGAAAGAACCACAAAGGTCCAGATCCGTATTGAAAACGCATCCAACACCGTTAGCCATCAGACATCAAAGTTCAACTACTTTCAGATTCTATCTAGCAATAGTCAGAATGGCTACTCCCAAGAGAAAAAAATGACAAAGCTGGAGAGATGGCTTAGAACACTGGCTGCTCTTCCAGACGGTCTCAGTTTGAGTCCCAGCACCTACATGGCAGCTCACCTGTAACTCGAGTCTTAGGGGACAGAGATTCTCTTCCGGCCTCTCTGGTCACTGAACACATTTGGTGCATAGACTACATGCAGGCAAAATACCCATACACTTATAAGTAAGTAAATAAAATATCAAAAGAAAAATGCCAACAAATGCCGATGAGGATGTGGGGAAAGTTGAACCCGTTTTCACTGCCGGTAGGAGTGGAAGCTGGAACAGCCATCATCGAAATTAGCACAGAGGGTTCAAAAATCAACAGTGAGGACATGAAGCTGGGAAGGGGACATGTTGGGAAACTCATCTGAGGAAGAGCTGAAGGGGAAATGAAGGATTGTTACGATCATATTTCACTGTATACATGAATTAAATTCTGAAAATAATATATTTTTAAAAACAAACAAAAACAGAATAGCCTTATGACCCAACTATTCTGCTTCTGCACATATACCCAAGACTCCATATCCTGCCACAAATATACTTCAAGACGCACATTTATTGCTGTTCTAGTCACAACAGCAAGGAATTGAAATTAGCCTAGATATTCATCAACAAATGAATGGGTAACAAAAATACAGTACATACAATATTTTATTTAGCCACAATGAAATTATCAAATTTATAGGAAAATTGATGGATCTAGAACTATTATGCTGAACAAAATAATCCAGACTCAGAATAACAAACATTGTGTGTTCTCTCTCATATATGAATCCTAGCCTTTAATGTTTATGCTTACATACACATACATGTATATACACATATATGTATATATGTAGGTGTAAGTGTGGTTATAGGTGTTGGATCTAGAAAGGGAAGATAAGGGGAAAAGAGGGTTGAGCAGGAAAGGGGGTAATAGAACACACTGACATGAAAGAAGGGCTACTGGGAGTGGAAGGGGACACGGGGAGAGGGGGAGGGAAGGATCAGCAAGAACATGATGTTTGAAAATGCCATAATGAAATCTAATCTTTCGTAAGGCAATTAAAAAATATATTCAGAAGGAAGTGTTTATCTCTCCTACTGCATTTGACTCTAATGGAAAAGTTGCCTTTATTTTGATTCACTGTGCTAAGCCTCATCCCTAAAAAAAAGTTGGCATCCAACAAATACTGAACTAAACAGACCTGGTCTTGATTTATAGATAAATACAGAGAACTAACTTGAGGAATAACATCACATTGATTCTCTCCTCAGTTGTCATAGGAATTAAACCAAGATCATCTGGCTGTGGGTAACAGTGAAAGTATACCCTAATGATGAATTATCGTTTGTGATCCTCTTGGTTTACAAAAGTTTCTTTGACAAGCAGTGTGGAAGGATTCGGGAAACAGCGATGCAAAATTCCAGTCAAGAACCTGTAAAATAGACAGAGATAAAACATGAGTGCCTCACTAGTGTTCTTAGAATATCAAGGTAGGAACCATAAAGTACATTAAAAACTAAAGATGGTGTGAAGAGTGAAGGATAGACGAATTGAGTTAAACTGTACAGAAAACTGGGTGTGTGCTAGAGGGTCAGTCCTCAATCATTGTCATACAATTGTTTTATAGAAGTCTAGAAGGCCCTCCTTGTCATACACGGCATTAATGGGAGCATCAACACATTCTCTTCTGTGTTGCCAGCATCTGCTTTTGCTCTACAGTGGCAGAGTTGACTGGATGACACAGATATCGCACGCTCTACACAACATCAAAGATTTACTGAGTCAGATTGATGATGCCATCATCCTTAACAACCTAAGCTGGATCTCTGAAAGCCATAGAGTAGTAGAAGAGACAAACTCCTGAAAGTTGTCCTCTGCCTCCACACATGTACCACAGCATGGGCACTAGCATGCGTGATATTTGGCGTTGGAAAGTTAGTTGATATATATGTAGATTTCTTATTCTATAAGTTAAAATCTTTATGCAAATTTTATTATATTTTTCATTACTTAAAACAATTTGAAATATATTTTGATCATATTCTTCCTCTCCCCCAAGTCCTTTCAGATAATCTTTCCCTTCCTACACACCCAAATCGAAGTTCTTTCTCATAAAAGGAACAAAAACTCAATATAACATCAAACCCCCCAAAACCAAGAAAAAAAAAACACATCCAAAAAGAAAAACAAACAAACAAAAAACTCCTAACAAATTGTAACCAAATAAAAGCACACACACACAAAACTATGGATTCCAATTATATGTTGGTCAACTACTCCTGAATATGAGGCCTGTCCTGGAATGGTTGATATACCCAGTGCCACTCCATTGGGGAAAATTAATTTTCCCTCTCCCAGCAGGTAAAAGTGGCAATTCAGTTGTTAACCTTTACCCTAGTGGCTAGGTTTTCATTCATTCATTCATTCATTCATTCATTCATTCATTCATTCACTTTTTAATACAACAAAATAAAATATACTAAGATGAAACAAAAACTATCACATCAAAGTTAGACAAGAACAGACTAACAGAAGGAAAAGAGCACAAGAGTAATAGACTCACTTGTTTACATGCTCAGGAATCCCATAAAAACACTAAACTAAAAGCCATAATATACGTGCAGAAAACACGGTGCAGACCCATGCAGGTCCTTTCATGCTGCTTCAGTCTCTAAGTTCATATGAGCTTTGCTCATGTTGATTTAGAGGGCCTTGTTTTCTTGGAGTTTTCCATCTTCTCTGGCTTTTATATTCTTTCCACCTCCTTTTCCCTGGGGTTCCCTAAGGTTGGGGAGGGTTTTGATAGAGACATCCCATTTAGGGTTGTGTGTTCCAACACCTCTCATTCTGTGTAATGTCTGGCTATGTGTCTCTACAATTGATCCCATCTGCTGCAGAAGGACGTTTCTCTGATAATAGTTGAACAAGGCACTAATCTGTGAGTATAGCTGAATATCATTAGGAGTCGTCATTTTATCACTACATTTTTTTTCTTTTTTTAGATCAGTATTATTTGGTTTTACTGTAGGTCCTTGGGCTATATAGTATCAGGTTCTTTTTTTTTTTTTAAAGATTTATTTATGTATTATGTATACAGTATTCTGCCTGCATGTGTCCCTGCAGGCCAGAAGAGGGCACCAGATCTCATTACAGACTGTTGTGAGCCACCATGTGGTTGCTGGGAATTGAACTCAGGACCTCTGGAAGAGCAGTCGGTGCTCTTAACCACTGAGTCATCTCTCCAGTCCCCTAGTATCAGGTTCTTGGTCACCCAGTGCCAGGTATGGGTTCCATTTTGTGGAGTGTGCCTTAGGTCAAATCAGATAATGGTTGATTACTCCCACAGGCTTCATGTCACCACTGATTGCACTAGCATATCTTGTAGGCAGTATACCATTGTAAATAAAGGGTTTGAGGCTGTCTTGGTGCTTATGTTTCCTTTTGAGAGCATGCAGGGTATGTTCCTGTACCAAAGATGCTGGAACACAGAAGTGAAGGCTGGTATGTAGGCGCTGACTCAACATCTCCATGTTTAATGAGTTGTGTACGTGTTGTCTTCAACAATGGGACCTTGCTGTCAGTTTGTGGAGAGCAACCTATAATCTTGGCAACAGTCTGGGTTGTTTGGAGATTCCTGTGGGGCCCCTTTGGCCAGCAAGTTAATTAGATGTAACCAAATCCCAGTACTGGAAGCTTCATTTGACAAAAGATGGCCAGCTAGGACTCCATCTCTTCCATTATTTGGTGGTTTCATTTAGGTTGCCTTCATATATGTACATATTTTATTAAGTTTCTACTGTATTAGGTTTCCATATTACCCCTCAAATGCCCCCTAATTTAGCTGTCTCTTCCTGTATCCTCCCCCTCAATCCCCCTCTCCTCTCTTTTCCCCCTTGATCCTCACATTCCACCCCTCCAATCCATAGCTATCTATTCTATTTCTCTTTTGTAACAAGATCTATCTGTTCCCTCTAGTCCCTTACTCTCTACCTACTCTCTGTAGTTCTATGGATTGTAGCTTGGTTATTTATCATCGCCTTCACAGATAATATACACATATAAGCAAATACATACCATATTTATCTTTCTGAGCCTAGGGTACCTCACTCAGGATTATTTTTCCCTAGTTCCATCCATTTGCCAGCAAATTTCAGGATGTCATTTTTTAATTGGCTGAGTAATACCTCACTGTATAAATTTTCTTTATCCATTTTTCTGTTGAGGGACATATAGGTTGTTTCCAATTTCTGGCTATTGTGAATAGAGCAGCAATAAACATGGTTGTGCAAGGGTCCTTGTGGTGGAATGAAGCATCCTTTGGGATATGCCCAAGAATAGTATAGCTGGATCTTGAGGTAGATCAATTACCATCTTTCTGAAGAACCACCATATTGATTACCACAGTGGCTGTACAAGTTTACACTCTCACCAGCAATAGAGGAGTGTTCCCCTTGCTCCGCATCCTTGCCAGCATGAGCTGTCACTTGTGTTATAGATCTCAGCCATTCTGGCAGGTGTAATATGGAATCTCAAAGTAGTTCTGATTTGCATTTCCATGATGACTAAGGATTTAATATTTCTTTAAATGTCTCTCAGCCATTTGAGTTTCATCTTTTGAGAATTCTGTTTAGATCTGTACCCCATTTTTAATTGCATTATTTGGTGCTTTGAAATCAAATTTCTTGAGTTCTTTATATATTTTGGATATGAGTCCTCTATTGGATGTGGAGTTGGTGAAATTTTTTTCCCATTCTGTAGGACAGCCTCCTTTGCCATGCAGAAGTTTTTCAGTTTCATGAAGGCCCATTAATCATCATTGCTCTCAGTGCCTTGCTAATTGTGTTCTGTTCAGGAAGTCGTCTCCTGTGCCAATGCAGTCAAGTCTGTTCTCCACTTTCTCTTCTATTAGGTTCTGTGTACCTGGCTTTATGTCGAGGTCTTTGATCCATTTGTAGTTAATTTTTGTGTAGCATGATAAATATGGATCTATTTGGATTCTTCTACATGCAGGCATCCAGTTTGATCAGCACCGTTTGTTGAAGATGCTGTCTTTTTTCCACTGTGTATTTCTAGCCTCGTTATAAAAAAATCAGATGTCCATGGGTGTGTGGATTTATGTCTGGGTCTTCAGTTCTATTCCACTGATCAACCTGTCTGTTTTTATATCAATACTATGCTGTTTTTATTACTGTAGCTTTGTAGTATAACTTGAAATCTAGAATGGTGATACCTCCTGCAGTATTTTATTATTCAGAATTGTTTTAACTATATTGCTTCTTTTTCTTTTTCTTTTTTGTGTATTTCCATATGAAGTAAAAATTGTCTTCTCAAAATCTGTGAAGAATTGTGTTGGAATTTTGGTGGGGATCACATTCAATCTGTAGATTGCTTTTGGTAGTATGGCCATTTTTACAATATTAATCCATTTTTTCATAAAACAAAAATAATGAAAGGTATAAAGATGTTATAATAGAAAATGTATAGATCAAGTTCACATCAGAGATAAAGACTTACTTATATAGGATTTTTTAAAAAAGACTAAATTACTTTAAAACTTTTTTTTTTTTTTTTTTTTTTTTTGGTTTTTCGAGACAGGGTTTCTCTGTGTAGCTTTGCGCCTTTCCTGGTACTCGCTTTGGAGACCAGGCTGGCCTCGAACTCACAGAGATCCGCCTGGCTCTGCCTCCCGAGTGCTGGGATTAAAGGCGTGCGCCACCACCGCCCGGCTACTTTAAAACTTTTAACATAAGCCTACCTAGTTATTCTTCATGAACCAGGGAAAGAAATGAATATTCTTCACTATAGAGTACATTGATGAATCTTTTCTATACCATTTTGCCACTTATAAATCAAAACTTGATTATTCTTACAGGGAAGAAGGAATATTGTTAAATTTAATTATTTTCTCAATGAAGGCAGGGACAGGCTGGATGGGGGAGGGGTAGAGGAGATGGGGGGCGGGCATATGGAAAGAGACTGAAGAGAGACACCACAGAGGAGGCTGTGTACCTCATTCTCTGATGGATATGAAGCCAGTCTGTGTCCCGAAGTTAAGGCCATCGCGAACATGGGAGAAAAACTTATCAGGATGGCAGGATGTGCAGAAGTCAAGATCTCCCTTCTGGTCTTGAATATTCTGTGGAAGAATTCCTCCTCGTTCTAGAAGAATCCTTAGAATAAAGATTTTTCAAAAGACAGCAAGAGTTTATGTTCCTGATAGTGACAGCAACATGAAAAAGGCATGTTTATTTGAGTGAGCACATTCCAGGAAAGCCCTCAGAATGACGGAAGCTGCTATTTCCTCTGCAACAGGGCTGGTCAGGAAATGGTAGATTCTATCAGCATTTATCACCGAAGTTCAAATATGAGCTGTGCAGTGATCCACACTGCCCTGCAGACCTGTGCTGGCTCTGGGATAGTGTGAGAGAATTGTATGCTTGTTTGGAAAGAAGAGCATTTGTGTACAAAACTCATTTGGTTCAGACAGGGTATACTTTTAATCATCTACCTCTCTCTCTTTCTCTCTCTCTCTCTCTCTCTCTCTCTCTCTCTCTCTCTCTCTCTCTCTCTCTCTCCCCTATTCACTAGACTTTTCACAGAAAACTTCCTTCATAAATATTCTGATATAAAATATGAATAAAATTAGTGACACATTTCACTAGTCACATTTAAGAATCAATTGTGATTGATTGAATCCTTTCTACTCGTGTGTTAAATGAGGCAGGGCCTGGGTATGGTTTTGCTGACTGGAATAGAAACACAATTCAAATCAGACATCAGTTTTCTTCTGTAGAAATGACAATTTTCAACAGAGATTAAGAAGCACATTCATATATTCAAAATGCATAGGACCACAAACACTTACAAGTTGTTACATACTTATATTACCTAATATTTTATAAGAAATGTTTTCTAGTTAATTAGACAATAAGAATACTTACAAAATATCAACTTTCTTATAGTTTCTTTTTCTTAAGAGAATTGACCTTAGCAATAGTTGTGAAGTAAAGTACATATCAGCTATTCTACACAAAATTTAAGTAGTTTTCTGGAGAGATCAACTTGCAATTTACTTCGAAATCAATAAACTGTAACAATCATGATATTATCTTAGATACAAATTAAGTAAGAATACATGCCTTGTTTAAAATGGGGTTTTCCATGTGTGCACGTTAGCTTCTTAAATATTTGCTACCTGAATTGTTTAGGGGAGTTACTTACTGTTCTCTAAAGTAATTTTCATCTCAGAAACAATAAGCCATAACCAAACTTCGGCACCACATTGAAATCACACACCTGGTAGCTTTTCGGATGTCAACGTAGGGATTCATTGAGTCAAACTGTCGCACACATGAAGGATGAAGATTATGAAATGAGGTTGCTGATTCTCTGGGAAGAGTAAAACAGCAAGGTCCTACTGAAGGCCCCAGAATGACAATAATGTCTTCCAAATTACAGCCATATTCTGCTACCATAGCATTCACAGTAGCCATAGCTACACCCAACAAGGTACCTTTCCAGCCTGGTAAATGAGAAGAAAAGAAGACAGGAGAAGTTAAAAATGTAGACTTCCAACTGCTTTTATGTCTCAGTGAAAAATGAACAGCTGTGGTTTGTGTATTCACAGCCCAGGTCAAAGAGATGAACCACAAAGGTAATGACTCCATTCAAGTACTGTCATTACATTAGACACACTTTACAAAGCACCTGACAGAATCAACAATTAATAGGAGTTTCTTTTGAAAAATGGTATTGATGTTTAGTCTCCATAGGAATAATGTCCTTTCAGCCTTTTCTCCCTTTCTTTCCTATTAACTAGAGTAATGAAACACATAAAATGTAACAATTTATGCCAGTTAAAGTATCCAGCTCACTATTAACATTTGCAGTGTTCAATTTCTAGAATTCTTTCATCTTGCAAATTTGAAACTAAGTAACTTCTCATTTCTCTATTCCTACACATTTTTGTTTATGAATTTTAAATACTCTACATACTCCATGTGAGGTGTTTCATATTGAACTTGTCTTTCTGTGACTGCTTTATTGGATCAAGGTCTAGAAGTTTCATCCATGTCTCTACTTATTCATTTGTCACGGTACACTTAGGTTGCTTCTACCTCATGAATCTTATGGGTCAGGATGCTATCAATGGAGAAGCAAGTTCTTTTGGACATCGATCCAGAGTTAGAATTCTAGGTCATATGGCAATTCTATTTTAAACTTTTTAAAGAATCGCCATACCATTATTTTAAAACTTGAAGTAGGGTCTCACTGTGTAGCTGGAATCCCCTCTGTAGATCAGGCTGGCCTCAAACTCAGAAGTCTACCTGCCTCTGCCTCCCGAGTGCTGGGATTAAAGTGCCACCATATCAAGAATATCATTTTGTGTGTGCGAATTTTCACATCTTTTATACTCATCAGTCCTTGAGAGTTGTTGTATGTCTTAAGTAGTAGCCTCTCTGACGGATGCATGATGAGATTCTGGTTTTGACTTACATTTCTTTAATCGTGAATGATGTTGATTAGCTTTTCTTATGCTTCTTAGCTGTTTACCAATCATTTTTAGGGAAAAAACCCATTCCTTAATTTCTGATCTTCCTACCTCTACCTCTTGAGTGCCAGGATTATAGGTGTATGCCACCATACCTGGTATATATGATGCTATTGAACAGACAGGGTCATCCATGCCAAGCAAGCACTCTACCAATGCAATTAAATCCCCAATCCCTTTACCTATTCTCAAACCCAGCCATTGTTTTATTGTAGAATTGCAGGTGTTGTTTTAACAATTAACCCCTTATTAGATATAATGGTTTGCAAATACTTCGTGCCATTGTGTGGGTTTCCTTTCTACTCCATTGATTATCCTTTGATGCACAGCATTTTAAATTTTAATAAAGTTCAATTTACCTGTCTTTAAATTTGTTTTTTTTCCTTCTTGAATACCTAAAAACTATTTTGCCTAATCCAAAGGCATGAATACTTACACTGCTGGTTCTTTTTCATTTTTTCATTCCTAAGAGTTTTATAATTTTCTTACAATTTAAGTCATTGATCCATTCTGACCTAACTTTTTAATACTGTTATGGTAAGGGTCAGAATCATTCTTTTGCTTGTGGGTGTCTGCTTTCCCCAGCTCCACTGGTTGAAGATATCATTCTTTCCTCATTGGACAGCCAGTTTGACATCTTCATTGAAAAGCTTTCAACCATAGTTCAGGGTTTATTTGTAACTTGTGGGCTCTCTATTCTATTTTGTTGGTTTATATATATTTTCAAATTTGCAAGATGAAAGAACTCTAGAAAATGAACACTGCAAATGTTAATAGAGAGCTGGACACTTTAATTGGCTTAAATGTTACATTTTATTTGTTTCATTACTCTAGTTAATAGGAAAGAGAGGGAGAAAAGGCTGAAAGGGCATTATTCCTATGGAGACTAAACATCAATACCATTTTTCAAAAGAAACTCCTATTAATTATCGAGTCTGTTATTTTTAATACTAGTGTTGTATTGTTTTCAATATCATAGCTTTGAAATGAGTTCTAGAATTAGAAATTGTGAAATGTCCAACTCTGAATCTTCTTTTACAAGATTGTTGTGACTATCCAGAGTCCCTTGAGGTTACATATGTAATTGAGGATGGATTTTTTTTTTTCCTGTAAAAATGCAATTAGGGGTTTGCTAGGATTGTACCAAATCAGTAGATGACTTTGGGTGATATTTGCATCTTAATAATATTGTTTCCACCTTACAAACATGGGACTTCTAATTATCTCACGCTTCTTTAACTTCTCTTGATATTGCCTTCGAGTCTTGTTAACTCTCCACTTTCCACACTAAAACTCATCTTTCCAACTAACCATCTCTTTGTACAGTTTTCTACTATCTCTTCATTGTCTCTGGATTCCCTGGTGAGTTCTAAGATTAAGTCCCTCTCTTCACTCCTGCTTCCCTTCAGTTTCCTAAAGTAAAACCCAAGAGCATTACGTTTTCCCTCCATTCCTTCATGCTGATTCTGACGCAAACTCAGTTGACTTAGCTGGACAATAAGGAGTCTCCTCACTCTTTTTCTCACCACTCCATAGACCCATCCTTCTAAAACTAAACACTGGGGAGAGATCTTTTTATTTTTTTTATTTTTTTTTTTTTAGATAAAAGGAAGAGATAGTGGAAGTAATAAATATTTAAATAAGAGTTTCAATGCCCATTGAAAACTCATTGAATATGTAAGTGTAAAAAGAGGACCAGAAGCCGGCAGTGGTGGCACACGCCTTTAATCCCAGCACTCGGGAGGCAGAGCCAGGCGGATCTCTGTGAGTTCGAGGCCAGCCTGGTCTACAGCTCGAGATCCAGGAAAGGCGCAAAGCTACACAGAGAAACCCTGTCTCGAAAAAAACAAAAAAACAAAAACAAAAAAAAGGACCAGAATAAAATACTAGGTTGTTAAGTTGGTAGATAAGATCTCTATAACAAAAACAGGGAAGCTTTGTGGTAGAAAAGGCTTTAGGAAAAGCATGATAAATTTTTCACATCATGATTCTGAGACACCTTTGGAAATGTAGGCAGTAATTTTCAGAAGAAAACAACTCAGTACAGATACTTTGATGACTGTTAAGACTTTTCTACAACACAAGGATACCTTCGTTCCTCTGAAACCTTCCTTTATCTTCTCACCAGCACCAACATATTCATATATACACAGCTAATTTAAAATAATTTTAATTTATTTAAATTCAATAAATAATTAATAATCAATAAATCATTTATTTTAATTAAATAAAATTTAATTTTTATGAACTTAGTCCCATAGATGGAGTTTAGACTAACTGATACCTGGTAAGTAGATAATGTATTCAACTGTATTGTATTTCATGCCTTATTTAGCAATGATTTGAAGTTCACAGTTACAGCTTCATTTTGACTAAATCTTGGATATTTTCAGAATAAATGTTTCAAAATCTAACATATAATACTTCTTTTGAGTTCAGATTCAAATTTTAAACTACTTTTGACAATGTCATATAGTGAACCTGACCTCTCATCCAACTCTGTTGCTTTAGCTAGGTCAAAAGAAAATTGTGCCACTTGATTCTGTGTATTCTAAAAAGTGTCATAAACATATAAGTAAGATGAAATTCAAAAGATCGTGTCTCATTTTACACAGGATAATACACATAGAATAATCTAAATATTATCTCAGAATTCCTTCAGGAAAGAAATCTGTATGTTTGACACAATCTAGCCTTTGAAAGCAATTTTTAATCATCTTTAGCTAATAGTCACGGTTTAATACAGTTAGTTAGTTGAACTAAATGCGGCTTTCCATTCACGGGCATAGACAAAGCATGTCTTGTTTCTTGTTTTGTCTTGTTTTCAGTCTCACTGCCTTTCTTCATGCTCTTTTCTCTGTGAACTCTTTTCTATAGCATGCCTAACATTCCCACCCTGCTACCTAGACTTCAAGGATTCTCAGCCAGAGGCAGCCACACCCTAGAGTGTTTAGAAGAGCATAAAGGGCTGGCCTTTGGTTATTGCAAAGACTATGATTATTATGCACATTAAAAACTTCAAGGTCTAAAGATAATTCAATCTGTATGCAGGATTATCTTGCGCCATATGTTAATAGCATATCCTTGCTTAGAAATACTGACAGACTTAAAACCTACAGATCCCCGAATATCACTAAATACCACCTACTTAGGGAATACTACTCTGATTCATCTAATTTGACTTGTCTACTCTTTATATCTGTTTCTATAGTAAGAGTACACAGGCCTCATCCTATCACAAAGCAATACAATGAACAGCTTTCTATGCCCATCAGAAAATAATTACAAAATACCTCGTACTGCAAACTAACAAAATCTGAAATGGTTTGTTAAATCCACCTACCAGAGTGAGCAACCCCACATGCTTTCTTGGCAGGATCTGCGAAGATGATAGGTATACAGTCAGCGCCCAGGGCTGTGATTGTGACTCCCCTCTGGTTGGTGATTATCCCATCGTAAGATTCAGGCTCCTTCTTCCCCATCACCCACACTCCATTGGCGTGATCAGTCTAACACAAAACACAGAACAAAATGTTTTAAAAACAAAACTTCTTATACTTGGGCTTTTCTAAAAGTACTCATTTGGGCAGAAAATTAGATAATCATGCTATGATTATCCACTTTTATGAATCATAAAATACAAACTATAACATCTCTGCAGATGCTGCTCACAGGAAAGCAGACTCAAAAGTCATGAACATCCCCCATTAGAGATGAGTAAATCTCTATTTTGAGTACTTCTCACAAAAGGCAAGTTTCACTTTCTTTGCAGAAAAGTGAAAGTACCAGTGATTTTCTTCTTCCCTTTTCTTAGACTCAAGTAAATCTAGAATTCTTTATCAGATTGTTTTCCCTCACTTAGGACCTTAGTTCTCCTGGGTCTTCACTTAAAAACTAATAGCCCAAACATTTTTTCTGTTCATTCAGGGAACTTTCTTCTATATTGATAGGTCAGTAGTGGTTGTATATTCACTCGAAAGTAACTATACTTCTAGAACTGAGTTCTAGATGAGATACATATATACATCCATATATGCCTGTGAGCACACACATATTAATATTTGATCTTTAGGCTATAATGTATAAAGTAGAGAAAACTAATTACAGTATTATCCTAAAATTTTAGATGAAGCACCAGAAACAAAAATTAAGTAGCTTAAAGGTCATATAGTTATTGACAGAGTGAAAAGTGCCAGTATTTTGGAAAAGCAAAATATATAACAAAGATTTACCTTTATTCGGTAAAATTTCTCTGCATTAAATCCTGCAGCCTTCGCCAACCTACGAAGATTTTCTTGAACAACTACTTTGGGATCTCTCCGTTTGGAACTACTGAAAAGATTGAGGGAGCTAAGAGTTGGTATATAAGATATGCCACCTGTTCTTGTAGTAAATCCATGTATGAAGACATCTGTTGAAGTTAAGCGGTAAAGAGTAAAGAGATGTTCTGCAAAAGACAATAAAGCATACAAAAGACAGTCTCTCCATCAGACCCTCCCTGATCACTCCAACCTGCAATTGTTTCTCTGGTTTCTAATTCGGGCAGCACTTGGCACCCCCATGTGTTGTTACACACCGCTGTTACCCCGTGACTGCTGCTCTTGAAGGGTGCTTTTGTTTCATCTGTCTATTACACATAACAGCTTGTAGCTCATGATAAAACTACTTATCCAAGGAAGATAGATTTTATTTTGAAATTTCACCCTCTGCCAAATGCCCAGAGGGTTGAGGTTTCAGCATTTCTATGTAAAAATTTTCCAGGACAGAAGTGGGTCTTTTTTGTTTTTGTTTTTTTGTTTGCTTGTTTGTTTGTTTTTAAAGGAGGATTGGGAGATTTGCCTTAAAGCTGAATTTGCATGGAGCCAACTTGTTTGTTTGGAATGGCTCTGATGAAGTCATCCCTTGATGCACCTGACCCACAAAGTCATAAAACCCCCATGTTGCAAAAGCTGAGCAGTTCACAAGAGTCAGCAGAAAAGAGAAAAAAAGGAAGTGAGCAACTTCTGAAGAAAGTCTGGGTTTTCACTGCAGTACAAAGGACAGCGTGTGGAAGATACCTGGGACCAGAGGAGATGTGATGATAGTTAAGTCCCCTTTCAGAGCTGGTAGGCTTCTCAAGTATGTTTCTATTTCACTCTGGATTTCTTCTAGTTGATGAGTTGTGGGTACGTTAACTTCAGGGGATGGTTTTGACAGGTTCTCTCTCCAAGCTACCTGTAAATCTTCAAACTCAAAATCATAAACCTTAGTGAAGAGGTGATCAATAAAAGCCTTCATTAACATTTTCCTGTGCTCAGGTACAATCACCTTGATGTGGCTCAGATTTTTTTCATCAATTTTTTGTTTAATTGTATACAAACAGGCAGCCACACTGGGTTTACTAACGGTCTCAAATTCTCTCGTGAGAAGTGAAAATCCATTTCCTGCTTCCAAGTCACCAAGATCTTGCTCACCATCCCTTTCTTTGGTGACATTACTGCAACGTATTATGCAAAGGAACTTGGCCTTGGGGGCATGGTGGTAGTGAATACCATTCAATGTCTTCAGTAATGTCTTATGGCAGTTTTTCTGTGAGTTCAGTTTTAAACCGAAAAGATCAATCAAGACTGCTTCTGCCATCCTTCAATCACGCACTTTTCCTCAAAGAAAACCTCTGTGCCAAATCAGCTGTAAGAAAAATGATCACAAATAAACAATAAGTTGTACCAGTCTTCTTATAGATACGACAGAAATTTGTGGTAGACAGAAAAGGAAGTGATTGTGTTAGCACAAAAAGTAACCTAAATAAATCCAGAGCCCGGCCCAGAAAAGAGACCAAGTCCTGCTTTTAAATTATAGGATGTCAGTCTACTGCTACTATATCATTATTCCCATCATGCCTATCAGATTAGATCATATCTCATAGGAAACACTGAGGCCTCACCTTTAGGATGTTAAGTTGAGCAGCACCAGCAAATCTCTCAATCTCTCTCTCTCTCTCTCTCTCTCTCTCTCTCTCTCTCTCTCTCTCTCTCTCTCTCTCTCTCTCTCTCTCTCTCTCTCCTCCCTCCCTCTCTCCCCCCCCCCCCCCCCCCCCCCACCTCTCTCGTTTTTGTTTTGTGGTTTTTCTCTGTGTAGCCCTGGCTGTCCTGGAATTCACTCACTGGGTAGACCAGGCTGGCCTCGAACTCACAGATAGCCACCTGCCTCTGCCTCCCAAGGGCTGGGATTAAAGACGTGCGCCACCACAAATCTCACTTTTTAAGACAGAAGCTGACCGACACGACAGACGTTCCCCAACATTTACACAGTACCCCACACTTGGGATGATCACGAAAGCCACTGTCATTTGGATGCGGGGGGGGGGGGGGGTGGCATTCCTGCCCGCTTGCTGATTCTTTGACCCGTCGTCCTACCAGTCCTCCCAGTCCCGGCTGCAGCGCCCCGCTGGTGACCCTGGCCCCTGAATTCCTGGCGACCCCAAGCATTGCTGACCCCTTCCCCCGCTGCGCGCCCCGCGCCCCGCGCCCCAGGGCACTGGCGCCGTCATTCATTCTTTCCGCCAGCTGTGCAGGGCGACCTCGGAGGAGCCTGTCGGGTCCCCGCGGGGTCGGCCCCTGCGTCCGTCCGTCCGTCCGGGGCTGGCTGACAGACTCACCGCGCTCTCCTCGGCGGCAGCGGCGGCGGGCTGGGGTGTGAGCTGCAGCAGCCTGGGCGATCGCACGGGGAGTCAGTCGCCTGCAGTCGCCGTCCGGGTGTCCGGCCGGCCGGCCGGCCCCACCGCGCCGCGCGGCCTCTAGGCGGCTTCGGGTTCCCGCGGGCGTGCTGTTCCCGCCACGGCCGCGGGGCGGCGCCCGGGAGACGCCTGCAGGGGGCCCCGGCGGGGGATTCCCGCGCCGCTCAGCAGTTCCGGGTCAGCGGTCGCCGTCGCCCCGGAGGCTGGGGGAGGCCGCCCGAGGCGGGGGCGCCGAGGCCGCCAGGCTCGCAGGGCCGCGGGCGGGCGCGTCCCCGGCGGCGGCGGCGGCGGCGGCGAGCGGAACGGAAGAGCGAGCGTGCTTCCCGGCGGCCCTCGGGGACGGCCGGAGGAGGTGCTGACCCAGCAGTGTGGTCAGCACCCCGTCACGTTAGCGCCTAGCGCCCTCCAATCCCCGGTCCAGGGAGGGCACGCCGGAGGATTTTGTCCGGAGTTTGTTTGTTTGGGTTTTTGGGGTTTTGTTTTTACTTTTTGTTTAGTTTTTTTTTAGTTTCCAGAAACAAGTGAGTTGATTCTCATCCCCCACCCCCACCCCCTTTCTGCTTATTCTGTGCTTTCGTTTGGGATCAACATCCTTGACGGCCAGCCCCCTTCACTGTGTCCTAAAAGGAACCTAGGATATCCCTAATAGGACAGAATGCATTCATTCTTAGAGTAGTAATAAGATCAAAATTCAGTACCCTTTATCCTCCAAGGGTTTAATGTAATTTTGAAACGACACTTATGGAAATCAAGTACCGTTGTAAATGGGAATATAGCTAACCTTCCACATAGAAGAGAACGTAAGAGAAGGCCTATTTTCTGTAGACTGGGATATGGAGGAAGGAGAGGAGGGTCCTTTGTCTGCCTTGGTGTTCCTGTGGGTGCTGACCATGTTTTTCCTGAACGAGGAGACTCTAGGGTATCTGGGAGTTTAGAAGAGTTCTTGTAAGTGTGCACCGGCCTCGACTTGACTAGAGACCAAGGTAACTAACCCACATAGGACACACTCCACTATATGTGACCACTTTGGGGTGGGGGGGTCACATCTGTATTTTTACTCACTGGACACTTTTAGGAAGCCTGAGTGGTAGATGATACACATCTGGTCAGACGTACATGCCTTGGCATGAACTTGTTTTATGTCAAGAAGCAAAATGGTATTTACAAAGCAGGTTTAGAACATGTTCCCTTGTTTTCCGTGCACAATGGTGAGAGTTCAGATTCTTTTATCCAACACCACTGGCAGTAACAAACAAAACTTTCAAAATAGGGAAGTTGTTCATTGTATTTGCATACCATTTCCTTCACCATCTGGTCTGTCTGAGCCCCATTTCTTAATACTCTGACTCCTTTCTCACGCTGCTCCTGAACTTCTCAATCCCGGTTGCCCATCTGAACAAGTAGAACTTAAAAAATAACCAGGATGGAGGTACCCCACACACCCGTTGCGCAGTGAATCAGAGTCTCTAGGAGTCAGGCCTGGGCATGTTTTGTTCTGCTTTTCTGTTTTCATCTTACAGATGATTCAGATGCATAATTCATTTTGAAAAAGAACTGCCTTATTCTCAAGCCATCCAAGTAAAGGCTGTTTTTTCCTAGGCCACATGACGACATTCTTTACACTTGCTGTTTGTTGTACTCTGAACACTCTTTTGTGAGCGAGCGTAACTGCTGCCCGTTGCTCAATACTCTTCAAGCTTAAACATAACCTTTCTGGAGGCATGGTTGTCTCACGATGCAGAATAGCTTCCTTAGGATTTTCGTATACAGGAAGTCCTCTCCTAGGCACAGTCTGATAAAACTGTGAAAGTTTTAAAAGTTTGAAAAGGCTTGTTAAACACTGAATTGTCCATTTTATAAGAATGAAAATTATGGTATGTAGGTTATGTCTATGTAAGCTTTTCACAAGAAAACAAAGCTAAGCCAGAGAATTGTGGAAAAGTGTAGTATAGTATTGTAAACTTATTTTAATCTACCTGCATGCTCATTTGTCAATCAATTGAGAAAGTCCAGTCTTTTTGCACATGATCAACTTATTTTTCTGTATTACATCTCTTGCATAAAGCACACAGCTACCCTTAAACATAAAAGATTCCCCATTTCTGTTTCTTTAAGAGGAGAATAATTTAAAGGCACTCTTGAAGCAATCTGAATGCAAACTCATTCTTTTATAGTTATCTCACACCCTTTACTATGTCTTTTGAAATTATTAAACACAGACTTCAGAGAAACAAACACTTTATTTCTATACCATATAATTGGTTTGCATAATATTTAATTAAGTAATAAAAGCATAGTATCAAGTATAGCTGGCATGAACAGGTTTGAGAACAGATAATTTATGGTATGGTTATGTAGTTCAATTGGTAGGCCGACTCACCTGAGAGTAATTTCTTAACCATGATCATTAGGCACATAATGGGAATTAACCACTTAGGACTTACAAAGGGAGTAGAAAAGGCGAGTTGATTAGATGCCAAGTGTAAATAGGCTAAGAGCATCCACTCCACCTCTCTGCTTTTAATTATTTGACTCTATGTCATAGAACAGCATTTTGGGGGCTTGACTGTTAAGAAAAACCCTTGGGAAGTCCCTAGATATATCCTTACACTCTTTTGTAAATCTTATGAGATGAGTAGAAATTTTAAGAGCTGTGTCCAATTTTTAAAAATTTGTATTTATTTTGTGAGTGTGTGTGTGATGTGTGTGGTGTGTGGGTATATGTGTTTGTGAGTGTGTGTGTATATGTGGTGTGTGTGATGTGTGTGTATATGTATGTGTGTGTGTGTGTGTGTGTGGTGTGTGTGTGTGTGTGTGTGTGTGTGTGTGTGTGTGTGTGAGAGAGAGAGAGAGAGAGAGAGAGAGAGAGAGAGAGAGAGAGAGAGAGAGAGAGAGCAAGAGAGCTCATGCATGTGGCAATCAGATGATAACTTTCTTGAGTCCGTTCTCTTCTGCTGTGTGAATCTCAGGGATCAAATGCTGGCTCTCAGGGTTGACTGAAAGCATCTCACTGGCCTAGACAGTTGTTTTTAAGCCATTTGAATGAAAGTTTATGGATCTTTACAGAACAGACCATGTAACCAATGCAGATTTCCTTCTTAATAGCCCCTGTTAAGTGTACTAAGGCTGCCAAAATAAATTGCCACAAACTGGGGGACTTAACAAAAATTTGTTCTCCATCAGTTATGGAGAGCAAATAGTAAACTGAAGTGTTGCCACAACCCGGCATCATTTGAAGGTTTTTGTCCTTCCATCTTTTTTTATTGAAAACATATTTTCATATGATATATTCTGAGCATACGTTTTTTGCTCTTTTAAGTCCTCCCAGACTCTCCTTCTCCCCTGGTAGCATTCAGCACACCTTCTAGTACCATGAGCTAGTACTAGTTAGTAGAGGTGAAGCCTCTGTGTAGGCACCAGCTGGACCTCTTGCCCATCCATCCAACTCCACATCCCTTCTTTCTCTTTTTAAAAACAAATGAACCAACAAAAAACTCTAGAAACACACACACACCCCACAAATTTGAAAGCCAAGGCATATAAGAAAAAGACCACTGAGAAAAAAATTGTCCAAACAAAGCCATATGAGATCAAAGTCTACAAAAACAGCATTGAGCTTATTTAGTGTTGACATCTACTGGTAGGCATAGGACCCATCCTGAAGTGTGGCTTACGTGCCCTGTGAGACTCCATTGAAGAAAACTAATGTTTCCTTGGCAAACAGGTAACAACTGGAGACAGTTCTTGGTTAGACTTGGGAACCCATGTGAACTTCCCTCTCTCAGCACTGGGTCCCAGCTGGCTTGAAACTGTGCAGGCCCTGTGCATGCTGTCACAGTGAGTTGATATGTGTGTCAGTCCTGTTGTGGTGGAAAGACATCGTTTCTTTGGTGCCATCTGTTCCCTCTGGCTCTTACCATGTCTGCCTCCTCTGCCACCTAGGTTCCTGAGCCCTGAGGGGAGGGTTTGATCAAGACATCCCATTTAGGACTGAGTGCTCCGATATTTCTCACTCTCTGCACACTGTCCTGTTGTGGGTCTCTGTGTTAGTTCCCATTTCCTGCAAGAAGCAGCTTCTCTGATGATAGCTAAGCAAGGTACCGATCTGTAGGTACAGCAGAACATTATTAGAAGTCATTTTATTGCTATGTTCCTTTAGCTGAGCAGTGGTGTTTGGTTTCCCCTAGCCCCGTGGCCACCCTAGCTGTTTCATGTGTGAATTCCAGCTCACAGAGTTGGCCTTCAACCCAATCAGAGAGTGGTTGGTTACTCCCACATGTGTGTCACTGTTACAACACGGTAGCTCTCACACATGGTTTGGAACTGGGGTGAGGATCACCCTTCTCCCCTGGTAGCGTGCAGCGTACCTTCTAGTACCATGAGCTAGTACTAGTTAGTAGAGGTGAAGCCTCTGTGTAGGCACCAGCTGGACCTCTCTGTGTTCTCTGTTACAACACGGTGTGTAATGTTGTCTTTAGGGATAGGGTCTCACTATAAGCTTGTGGGGGCCAACCAATGGCCTAGGCAGTAGCCTGAGATGGTTGGGGGTTTCTCTGAAGTCCTTTTGGCTCAGCTAATTGATGGCACTAGAGGTTTCACTTGGTGACAGAAGATATCTAGTTGGGGCACTGTCTCCCCCATTATTTGAAGCTTCCATTTTATTTCTTTCATATATATATATATTGTTGTTGTTGTTGTTGTTGTTGTTGTTCTGTTTTGCCTTGTTTGAGACATAGTCTCATTGTAGCACAGGCTGGCCTCAAACATTACATTTTGGGGGGGATGGGGGTTGTTGATGTTATTATTATTTTAAATAATTTTTTTTCTCTTTATGTGCATTGGTTTTTTTTGTCTGCATGAATGTCTGTGTGAGAGTGTCAGATTCCCTGGAACTGGAGCTCCAGACAGCTTCGAGCTGCCAAGCGGGTGCTGGGAATTGAACCCAGGTCCCCTGGAAGAACAGCCAGTGCTCTTAACCACTGCACCATCTCTCAAGCCATATATATATATTTTAGGATGCTTCTTTGGTAGCATGTTTCCATGTTAACCCTCAGATGGCCTTTGATATTAGTTGTCCCTCCCCGATTCCCTCCATTTCCCATCTCTTCCATACCTCTCCCCATTTAATCCTCCTCCAGCTACCAACCCTGCCACACCTTTCCTTAATAATAAATTCTCTTTCCCTCCCCTTGGGATATCCTTCCCTTCCCCCTAGTCCCCCTAGTCAGTAGCTAACCTCCGTGGTTATACTAATTGTAGAACACATGTTGAAGGCTTAAAAGCTAGCACCCACATACAAGAGAAAACATATAAATAGTATTTCTTTTATTTTTTGGCAGGGGGAGAGGGTGCTGAATTACCTTAGTCAAGATGATTCTTGTTTTGTTTTGTTTTGTTTTATTTTTTTGGCTCCATCCATTTACCTGCAAAATTCCTAATTTCTTTTGTTTTATAGTCTTATAAATAATGTATTAATATCTCATTGTCCCACATTTTCATTATCCATTCATTATTTTATGGGCATCTAAGCTGTTTGCAGTTTCTGGCTATTATGGATACAGCAGTACTGAACATGGATGAGCAAGTGTTTGTGTAGTAGGATTAGAGTCCTGTGGGTTTATGCCCAAGAGTGGTGTAGCTGCATATTGGGGCAGATTAATTCTAGATTTTAGATGTTAACCCTCTATCAGATGTGTGGCTAAAATCTCTTCCATTCTGTAGGCTGCCACTTTACCAGAATGATGGTGTCCTTTGCCATACAGAAGCTTTTCAGCTTTATGAGGTTTCATGTATTAATTGTTGTTCTTAGTGCCTGTGCTGTCAGTGTCTTGTTCAGAAAGTCTTTTCCTGTGCCAATGAGTTCAAGCCTATTCACCACCTTCTCATCTATCAGATATTCAGGGTATTTGGTCTTCTGTTGAGGTCCTTGTCAATTTGGAGTTGAGTTTGTGCAAGGTGATGAATATGGATCCATTAGAATTAT